TATTTATTAATAATATTTAATAAAGTCATAATTGATAAAAAAAAAAGTCACTTGTTTTAAAGAAATTAAATTTTTTAAACATTCCCTCCAAACAAATTGATTGAATGTTAGGTTTAATTTTGGAGGGAAATGAAATTTTCAACTCTCCTTCCAATCAATATGTTTTAAATAATTTGATTGAATCCCACATAGAATTTTGTAGGTTTTCCTTGAAAAATCTTTTCCTACAAATAGGAATAGACTTTCATAATCTTCTCCAACTTCCAATGAGACTCTTCCTTATGAGAGGAGACTCTTGAAGTAAGAATTTTTAGTCAAAATTTTGAAATATATATAAGAAAGAAAGAAAGAAAGAAAAGAAAGAAAGAAAATAAAAAAAGAAAAAGAGAAAAACCAACGGTCCAACCCACCAGACCCGGTCCGGGTCACCGGTTTTCCCGGTTCGACCGCCAGGTCTTTCGGTTTTCTATTTCTAGGCCGGTTTTGCTCCTACTCCGGTTCTAGAGGTTTGATGGGACTGGAACAAGGCCTGGTTCATTTTGCATCGGTGTGGGTTCATTTTTGGCATGGACCCTATTTTCATTGTTAGGAATGTGGTAGTATGGTGGGAGACCACCTTTTCTTCTTGGAGACCACCTTTCTGTTCGCCGCCCGATTTTCTTATTAGAGGGGTGGTCTCCCTCACTTTTGGGGCACATTTTCTGGTCTCCCATATCACCATTGTGTTGTATTCACCTGGGAGGCCACTAATATGGGTTGGCCGACCACCTTTGGTGATTGACCCTTTTGAACCTTCCTTGAAAGCTGGTTTTTCTCACTTTTGAGCCACATTTTCTAGTCTTCCATACCACCACTGTGTTGCACTCATCTGGGAGGCCACCAATCTAGTATGGCCAACCACCTTTTCTTGTTGACCCTTTTGACCCCTGGTCGGCCGACCAGGGCAAGTGGTCGGCCGACCACTTGAACTGGTTGGCCAGCCATCTCCTTTTTGACCTTCATGAGTTGCATATAGCTGTGCCAGCTGGGAGGCATTTGCTCCGGGTTTGACCCTTTTGTTTGGCTTCTTAAGGAAGTTTGGTCCTTTTTGCTTAGCTTCTAAGAGAAGCTTGACCCCTTTGGTCTAGCTTCCTCAAGAAGCTTGACCCTTTTGGTTTAGCTTCTTTTGGAAGCTTGGTCCCTTTGCTTGAGGCTTCTCCAAGAAGTCTTGGACCTCCTCTTCTATAAAACCAACCCTCCTCTCCACTTGCAAGGGTTGAACATTTTGGTCTCAAGATAGATACACTTCTCCATATATCTCTACATCCCAAGCCTCCAAACTCCATTATTCTTGGCCATTTACACTACACCTCCTAGCACAACACCTCCACCATCCATCCAAGCACCTTGGAGCTGATTTTTAGAGGTTGAAGACTTACTATTTTGGTCCGGAAGCTGCTGGCCTTCTCCTCTTCAAGGGTAAGTCTCTATTTCCCCCATTTTGACATTATTTTGCTCCATAGTTTAGCTCTATTTGCAAGAATTTTTGGACTTCAACATAAACTAAAAAAAGTCTTGCTTTGAGCTTCTCTTCAAGTTTGTTCAAGGTCATTTTTCTGTTTGGGGTCACCTTCCCCCTTGCATGCTTCATTTCCTCATGTTTTGAGCCATGCATTAGAGCATTTTTCATGGCCTTGGTTTGTCCTTTTATTCACTGAAATCCAGTGGATTTTTAGTGGCTAACATGTGTTTTTGAGCCCTAAAATCAGAGAGGGGTGACCCTCTCACCCTTTGTTCTCTTTACTAGCTTTGTTGGCCTTCCAAAGGGGCCCCTATTTGCATGTTTCAAAGCCACATTTCAGACCCTATTTGGTGAGTTTTAAGGTCTGCATTAGCTCTGTCCAGAGCCTATTTTGCCATATAAAGTATCTATTATGCATGTGTAGAGTAATCCTCTTCAAGGCCTTCCAAAGGGGCTTTCACTTGCATGCTTCCTAGACTAATTTCAGGGCCTTTTTGGTGGGTTTTAGGACCCTCATAACCTCTTTCCAAAGGTGGTTTTGCCATTTTGGGTGTCCGTCATATACGTGTGGAACAACGCCTTGCATGGCCCTCCAAAGGAGCCTATCATTCTTACATGTGTTGATTGAGTTTCCATGGGTTTTGGGGCATATTTTAGCATGGCATATTTCTTTTTTTGGTTGGTTTGGTGATCCCTCATGTGCTTCACATACTTGTAGTGTAAATCATGGTTCACTAACTTATTTCGCATGCTTTGTTGACCCTTGATTTTAGCTCTTTTTTTCCTTGCCTTAAACTGATTTTGTGCATATTTTGGACTGCCCTAGCTCTATTTTTGGGTCTCATTGTCGAATGATTGTTTTGCATGCTTGTAGTTCAACACCCACGCTTAACTTTGAGTTTTGAGGCTCATTACATGCATATACTGAGGTGTATTCATATTTTGGGCCCATTATACATCATATTTCAGAGCTTGTATCAATGCCATATTGCCATGTTTTATACTCCTTAAGTGTGCTTGAGAGTTGTCCATGAATGCCTTATTTTCAGGCCATTGAATGAGCTCCACTTCTTTGCATTCCGAGCCATCATTTTAGGCCAATTCCCCACTGTTTCAGACTTGCCTAGGGTCTATTTTGGGTTGGTTTTGCCATTAGTGCATTGCTTTGGGTACCTCTAGAGTAACGCACTTCACTAGTTTAGGTGCCCAGGCCCCCTAGCTTGCTTTGTGTGCCCTATTTGCATGTTTCGGGACCATCTTTTATGCCATTTCAGAGTTGTATCATGTCCCATTCTATGCCACATTTCATCCTATGCCATGCTTAGTTAGAGTAGCATGTTATGCCTTAGGATCGGTCCTTTGCATTCGTGCACGTCTGCATGTGTTTCGGTTGTCTCATTTCCATCACATGGCCACTGATGTGAGTATGGCTGAGGTCCACCCATATTGGTGTAAGTCCATCGTGCATTGTGTATGCCATTTTAGTCCATAGCATTGCATATGCTAGGTTGTATGTTAGCGCATTGTGCATGCCATGTTGTGTCACGTGCATTGTGTATGCCATTTTAATCCATAGCATTTGCGTATGCTAGGTTGCATGTTAGTCGCATTGTGTATGCCATCACATTGCATTGTGTTTGGGATAGGAGTTAGCCTAAACACGGGAAATGAGGGACGTTTCATACTCAAAGTGACGAAACGTACCTCGATTCCCAGTCGCCGACACTCTTGACCATACATGATGGAGTTGTTGGCTTTATGTGTTCATTTGTGCATTCATTTTACATCGAGTTGTGTAATTCGATTCCTCGGCCATCATGCATCGAGATGCGCGATTGGTGGCACGAGGATCGAGGTCTACACTCCCTAGAGCTTGAGTAATGACGGGCAGAGTAGTCGTGCATACATGTTTGGAAAATACATTGCCTTTCCTCTCCCTTGCCGTTGTTGCAGAAAAAACCAGAATCCAGGGGCAGAAAGTGTCGGCCAACCAGCTTTTCTAGCAGGCAGACCACCCTTTTGGGTTTCTCCCACAAAAGGTGGCCGGTGGGTGGTCTCCCATGCTGATAACTGGTCGGTGGCCTTCCCAAGGTGGAGTTTCAGCCTTCTGGAGCTTTGTGCAAAGTTTTGAGATCAATTGCAAACAAGGGCGAGGCGAGGCATCGCGAGGAATTTTCCAACGAGGCGACTCGAGCATGCATGCATCTTTCATCATTCCGAGCAGAGCTGGGGTAGTCCATTGGCATACTAGCTTATTTCGCTTTCCTAGTTAATTTGTTAATTAATTAGGGTTTTGTAATATTTAATTAGTTAGAGTAGTTAATTACTTATTCGGACTGTATTATTCATTCGGACCCTCCGAGCGAGGGCACAATTGTAATAAGTGTGCGTGTGTGTGATGCATGTCTTCCAACCCCCACTTCTTTCTCCCTTTTATTTATCAGCTTATGATGGTTAGATTAGGGCATGTTTCAATTAGCATACTTATGCTCGCATGTTTGCATCCATTCATCTGTCTTGCATATGCACCGGGCTCGGCGCATCATACTAACTGCATTGTATTTCAATTCCAAGTTGAATACGTGTTAGCTATAGCATCATCATATGCCATCTTAGAATAGCCGAGCCTATTGTAGTTGCATTTTTACATCTGTTGCATTAGGCATTTCAGCATAGTTAGGATTCATGCATGATTTCTAATAAGCTTCTTTCTTTGGCTTGGAGTACTCGGTAAGTGTTTATGCTTTAGCACCCCTGCATGCGTGTTAGTGACTGCCATGATAGCATGCTTACCATGAGGCTATGTGCTTATGTGATATAACTGCATGAATGCCTGTGGGTGAAGGTTGGGTTATTTGGATTGGAACAATTCATCAATTGTGAGTTTTAAGCCCACGTGAGAGTGGCAAATCACCCTATTTCTTAAGCCCACCCGAGAGTGGCAAATTCACGTTTTAGCCTACTTGCGAGTAGCAAACCATTTTCAAGACAAACATAAGATGTTTTGTTCCAATTCAGGCGATCCAGTCTATACTTATATGCTATGCGTATCACATAGTAAATTTAGGCTAATAACTGGAATAAAAACGCATAATGTTTTCAAAACTTGATATCATGGTTAGTAGAGGCCGATCTTTGATCGGGCGAGCGGAGGTGCTCACGAAGTGACCTTCCCCAATCGTACCCAAGTTCCCGAGCCGAGGCAACTTTAGTGATGACGGACACGTGGCCTTAGGCACGAGTCAGGGTTTCTTAAATTCCCCCCAAACAAAATATTAGGTGGCAACTCTGTATCTGGCAAAGCAGTCCATGTTTGGCATTTCTTTCAAAAAAATCTGTTTTAAAAAACGATTTGTCGGATTTTGACTCTTTGATGATTCATCGGTCTTGCATTGCACTCCGCGAGATTAGATACAGGACAGTGACATTGAGTCCCGAACTGTAGTAAGCCCAAATGAACAGAACATGATCTTCTCCTGGGACGTTCGGGGACGTCTACAGTAGGCCCCACGCACCGCGGCGTTTTAAATTGGCTGACAGCAGCTCCAAGCCCTACATAGTGCTCTAGAATCTTCTGGAAGGTTCCCCTCTTAAGAACTTGGAGTTCCAACACTCCAATGGCTTTAACTTTACGTGAGCCCACATAGCCCACGTCTACAAATGACCGGTCCAAGCAATTGCTACATTCCCTCAGAAGGTCGTCACCTGCTTCCCCGCTCACTTCCCAGAAGATGACATAGTGACCAGGCTCTGTTGATAAGTCCATGTGGCTCGTGAAGTCAACTACTTCGAGTTTTTCGTTGGAAAACAACTTTCCTGCTGCTTTAACAGATAGTTGTACATCTTTCTCGGTGTTCTTGTCGATGTTGATGGTGAGGAGAAGATTGCTCCTGCAGATAAATTGGAGTTTTGGACTAGAATTGTGGAAGCCCACTACCTTAACCACATCTCCAAGCCTATACCGATACAAACCTGCGAGTTTACCATATAAATTTTGTAATTCATAAGTTTTGGTTGAAATTGTGTGTTTTACAAGTCACAATAACATAATAGGAGCCAAAAGAAATTGGTGTTGGGTGTATGCACATCCAAGTCCTGGTGAAATTTGAAATTAAAATGCTAAGTAAATCTAATTAAAAGTCGCCACTTTAATTTTAAAAACTAAAGAAAAAGAGAAATCCTCTCACAAAATGAATTTTTTAATACGGCAAAACTAAGCAGTGTTTATTGGTGAGAGCATGTGGGCAAGCTTTCATATAAATTTCCTTTTTCTTTTGTTTTTATACACTCCCAGCCGCACAATGTGGCGGAATTTCAAGATAGGATCCTATGGCTAAGAATGTATCAAGACAGAGTGACAGATTTGGGTACAGAGGATCATTGGCTGTCAAACTCCCAACAAATTTCACACATAGAACATTTAATTACATTTATTGCAAAAAAAATAGAGAAAGAAAAGAAAGTTCAATGAGAAAGCATACACAATTCAAACTTGGAACATTTAATTATATTTATTTCAAAAAAAGGAAAGAAGTTCAATAAGAAAGCATCTATTACAACTAGAAATTGAAATAATCAAATGTTCTTATCGTCATCTAGAGGAAAAAAAGAAAAGAAAAATTGAATTTGGATGGAGGAGGAAAAAGTTAGAAAAATCATAATTTGAAATAAAAAAACTTGAGCAGTGACATAAAGGCAATTTTGGCATAAGAAAATGTGACATAGAGGTTCACATCAAGTGAATTGTGCTCCTTATATAACATAAGCGATAGAATAGATATACAAAGTTCATATATAGAATTCATGTGCATACGGATTTATGCAAGTAATTGAAGAAAATTAAAAATGAAACAGGGTCACGTCGGTGAAACCACAGATATTTGCAGAGAGAATTCAGTTTCCAATCCTCACGAATACAAAACTATTCCACAAGGCATCTTTTAATTTGTTAGTAGTTTAGCATTTAAATTAATGTACCACCAAAGCATAGTGGTGACATACACATGGAACCAAAAACAAATGAATAAACTATCCCTAGTACACATGGATAATCTAAGAAAATTGGACTGTCATACATAGGGGACATAGAAGAGAGCACCTACTGGTATTAAACCCTTCAATAATTTGAGGAATCTAATATTAAGATGTCAACCATGAGGTGCACAACATATAAGTTATAGCATTCAGAACAAATTATAGATATTTGTGTCTCAACCGACCAGTTTGGTCATGTGAGCTAGTAAAATGGAATAATCTCGTTCATATTCCACAGGATAAACCAAAAGATTGAAAAATACAAGACAGTATGGAGAGAAGTCAGAACTGCACAATGATAGAGCTGTTGTAATTGTATCCAACACTCACATGGTGAGAAGTAGAGCGAATGCTCATTCTGTTGGAATAAAAACCTAGTTTAGTCATGTGAGATGGTGAAATGGAATAATCTCATTCATATTCCAACGGATAAACAACCAAAAGACTGAAACAAATGAGACAGTATGGAGAGAAGCAAGACCTGCACAAGGATAGAGTTGTTCTAACAGTATCCAACACCCACATGGCAAGCATTTTGGTACTCAACTCTAGTTTATTGGCTTAAAATAAGCCCACAAATAAGATAGTGCTTAAAAAAACTAGTTCCTTTGACATATTTTTGGCTTGTAGGATTTCCTAATGGCTTTTTAAAGTGGCTTAAATTGATTTTTTGGTGGGAAATGAGTATGGCAAATGACTTGAAGCTTTTTAAGCAAAATAGGCTTATAAGTCATCCCAAACGAAGGGAAGAGAGGGGTTTCAAACAATCAATAAATGGATGATAATGAGTTTATAAACCAATGGCTCAATGCATAGATGATTATACTGGTTCAAATAAAATAATTTCCTAAACCATTGACCATATTTTTTTTTTGAAAGTCTAATGTCATCAATATGTAATCTTTTCATGTAGAGAGAGCCATAAATTCTGCAAATTTGTTGACGTGTAGGAAGCAGGAGTAATTTCTAATATTCATTTTGAGAGGCTTTCACACTATCCAAAAAACAAATTTAGTACCTGCAAAAGTAGTGAGGATGATCTCATACTCTTCACCAACTTTGACTTCAGTCAGACCCACTGTCTTAGGCTCTATGGAGAGAAAGGAGGATTCGATTTCATCTTGCTTTGGAACCTCAACATTAGTAATAAATTCAAAATACCCAATATCAGGCAACACAATGAAAGTGGCCAACTTAGGGGGCAATTTCGGGTTCACATTTGCTCCAATCCATCCCTCAAAAGACCCATAATCAGCACTCAGCAGTGGCAGCTCACCCGCATAGTGCCTCAATTTTTTCAAATAATGTTCCATTGACCCAGTCATGATCCCATAAATGTACTTTGTATTGGGAAATAGCTCCGGTATTAATCCATACCAATTACTTAATCCCGAGCATTTTTTATGGATCTTATCAGCCAATTTTGGGTTTGGCTTGAGCAATTTCGACATAGCTGTTCGTATGGATAGGACAGTGATTTGGCTGGTGAGAACCCCTTCTCGGATGTCAGTATAGAGTTCTTCCCAAACTTGTTCAAAGGTTCGGAAAGCATAAACAATGCTGTGGGCAAATGTAGAGGACACTACTTGGACTTCGTTCCAATAAATGAGTCTGCTTAGAAGATGGCAGTATAAGGATTGCTGGAAGTCGGGACCAAATATCACTTCATCAGGGCTACAACATTGGGTCCGCATAGCCTTCATTGTATTCTTGAACAGCGAACCACTGAACACGTTCGTAGTAACAGTTCCGGCAGCCAGACCCCCTTTCGTTTTGAATTGCTTGCTGCTGTAAATGAACTGCAAGGCCTTTCCATTCCCAATAGGAAATTCCCTGCAAACCAGCAGTTTTTCACATCAGCAGATATCTTATTAACGACATGCACAAGGGAGGAAAAGCAGAAACACATTAAACGCTAATATGGGCAATGTAGAGAATTTTAAAACATAAGGAAAGGTGGATAGGAGAGTTTGTGTCCATTTGTATGGGTGTGGAATTTCCAAACCAATGGCTCAAATTTGTTTTTGGATGTTCAGAAGAATGAGAGAGAGAGAGAGAGAGAGTATATACACACATGCCTCACAAAGATTAATAACCATCTTAGAAACTTCTACACAGAGGATGAAAAAACAGTAAAATCATTTAATCAACTGTAAGACTACAATTGGCAAATGAGGAGAATTTTAAAACAAAACTTGTTATTGCCTAGTGACGAGCATTAAACAAATTGATTTCCCTAAAAAAAAGGAGCATCTTGATTGTGGAAATGTCAAAGTCAGAAAAATGCCTAATTGACATATTCATGAACGCTTTGTTTATTGTTGATTCCTCCAAACAAAGAAAACAAAATTTAATAGACAAGTGAAATGCAACTTCCAAAACATCTAACAGTCACTTACAATTCCAACCAAATATTTTTAAAGTCAACTTGAAAGAGAAGGGCATCTGATACTAATATGAACTAAAAATCCTTTTGCAATAAACAGAGGAATATAACCTGTTTCTAAATACAAAAGATGTCTTATATATCTGCATGGTGGATTCCATCAATTCGTTATTGAACGGGACAAACTTGGGCTTTCCCTGAGTGGTGCCAGAACTGCAAGAAATAAAGAATTGACAGACGCTATGAACTTCACATCCAAACAATTTTTATTAGAAAAAAAAAAGTCACTAAAAAAAGCATCAAGAAAATAACAATTAATTACAAGTACCTTAATGAGGTGGTTGTTATTGGTTTTCCAGTAAGAATGGGGGAAGTATCACCATCCACCATTCTCTGAATGTAAGGTTCCAAATCCTTGTGAGTGACGAGGGGGACAAAAGCCTTGAAACTCTCATGGTCAGTTCTTCCATTAAGACCCCATTTCTTTAAGTACTCTGTGCTGGCATTTTCTTCCAGTATTTTCTGCAGGGTCTCTTTCTGAACTCTCTCAGCATCCTTTGTTAGCATCTCGAATTCTTCTATGACTTCCTCAGGGTCAAATTTTGTGCCCATCTTCTCCAACATCCTCACAGACCTTGAATGGCTTGCTACAATTATCAAAGGACTTATTGAGAAATACTTAATATGTAATTCAACACAAAACCAATTTTGAGAAAGTCTACATGACTTCTAAAACATGAGCATACAATTCGAAGAAGCAATTTCGACAAAATGTAGAGAACATAGTAACACTATTTCACTTTTGCAAAACACTGCAAAAAAAAAAAGTCACACAAAGACTTTTAGAGAGAGAGAGAGAGAGAGAGAGAGAGACGTTAGTTTTTATTTTCTTGGCTCATTTTTGAGTTGGAAGAATATGGAGTGATGGAAGATTTTTCGGGGGTTCGCATTTATAGAAGTTCCAGAATGCCATCCACCAAAAGCGCCAAATTGTTTCCAAATATTACCCCCTGAGTTTTGTTCGAATTACGAAAACACCACTATTGTTGTCTAATTACATATTTGTCCTTCAAGAATGCTTGATATTACGATATGACTGCCGGAATTCTCTAAATTGTGGGGACCTAAAAGCGAAGACACGTAAATATTGGAAATTTTGGATAGAGTTGGATTCCAAATAAATATTAGGGAAATTTTGATATTAATAAATTACTGTGTGTGGGTCCCATACTTATGTGAGAGATTTGATAGATTGTTGTCTAATTACATATTTGTCCTTTAAGAATGCTTGATATTACGATATGACTGTCGGAATTCTCTAAATTGTGGGGACCTAAAAGCAAAGACACGTAAATATTGGAAATTTTGGATAGAGTTGGATTCCAAATAAATATTAGGGAAATTTTGATATCAACGCCGATACAGACTCCCTCCAAAACCGACCCCCACGACCCCCTCTGAGGTGGCACCTGCTGAAGTCAAGTGAAGAAGAATTGCACAATAAAGAAGGTGTGACACACCCACCTGAAAGATAGAAAAAATATACTGAAAACAAAGACCAAAAAAAAGTGGGAACGGCCTGATATTTCTTTCTTTCCCACCCCTGTCCGTCTTCCCTCTTCCCTCTTCCCTCTTCCCTCTTCCATCGTGCGCCCGCCATAGCTCTCCTCCGTCGACCATAGCTCTCCAGCAATAACTCTCTGTATCTCGCTCTACAGATCTTCGATCGCATTCCGATATCATTGAAAAATTACATATGCTTACTACAAAATCTCCAGAGTATCAAACATTGAAAAATTACACGGCATTTTCTATTTGTCAACATAATGAATCCATTATATGTAAACACACCCAAAAAAAAAAAAAAAAAATTCTATTTTCAATAATGATTTCAAGGAGTTACCCAGGTATGAGAGAGAACACAATCAATTTTCTAACCAATCACTGCCTGAGAAACAAACCTCACACCCTTAATTAGAATAAATATTGATTATAATAACAACACAACATAAACATTTGAATTGTTTGAGAGAAATTTTTTCTCTAAAAAAATTAAAAAAAGTAAAAAAAATCAAAAAACTAACTCACATCCCAAGCCAACTCTATATAGTTTGAGTTAGCAGGAGAGTAGTTCCATGATCTAATTTTTTTTTTCCAATCAATAAAATGTTAATTAAATTGTGATCTAGTTGAATTCGTATCTTTTAATAATCTAGAATTGAATCGTGATCTTTTCAAAAATTGAATTAACCCAATCTGCGAAAGTTGAATTAATTCAATTTAGTAACATTTGAATTGTTTGTCCACACTTAATAGAATAAATATTGATTATAACAACAACACAACATAAACGTTTTTAAAAAAAAATACAAAAAACAATTCCAAAGTTTGACAATTTATAACAAATTAAACTCTGACCTTTTTAATTGTTTCAATTTAAATTATGAATTTCTAAAATGATATCTATTTTAGCTATCCATTTGTATCTATTAATTATAACCAATGGATCGTGTGTAATTTAGACAATTTAATTATTTATTTTTCTTTATGACTGATGACAATTACTTCTCATTATTTATTCCATGTTAGTTTGATCAAAAATGTTTGGTAGCTCGAAAAACTTCCCCCTGAATCCCCCGAATCACTGAAACGACGTCGTTCAGTTTTGATTTTTTTTTTTTTCTTTCTAAAACTGAGGGAGAGAGAGGGAGAAACAAAGGAGAGGAGAGTGGGAGAAAGAGAGAGGAGGAGAGGAGAGAAGGAAAACAGATCGCAGCTCGTAGATCGCAGGAGAAGGGAGAAAGAGAGAGGAGGAGAGTGCGACGGTGGATGTCGGTCGCAGATCACAGCTCGTCACTCGTGGAAGCTCGTCGGCCGATCGCAGCTCGTCAACCAATCGCCTCCGCCTCGCCTCCGTCTCTGCCTCTGCCTTCGCCCGGTTGAATGTGCCCCCTCCAGTCCTTCTTCTTCTTCTTCTTCTTCTTCTTCTTCTTCTTCTTCTTCTTCTTCTTCTTCTCTTGATTCGGGGGATTCGGGGGCTCCGGATTCGAGCTTCCTAGCACGTCTCTAGTTTGATATGAGGGAACACGTGGGTGAATTTGTTAGCAAGACCTGTTAGTTGAATAAGGGAAGTAGACTTTTGTTTCTGTATTTAAGAGCATGTGGTTTTCATGGTTTTTTGTTGCCGTTTTTCTGCGCCGCTCTCGTCCTCCATTACTATGGATAATTATTAATTTCGGACCACGAATAGGTAATATTTTATAATGTTATAATTAATAAAAATAATAAATAAATAAAATATTATATTAAGTGATTAAAAAATATAATAAATATATTAAATATTTGATTGGTTAAAAAATACAAATATATGATACTTTGAAAACATTAAATAATTTCTCATTACTACTACGTGTCAAAAATGAAGAAAAAAACCCAGCAAACAAAATTACAAATTGCTTAAAATTTTAAATTTACCACTTAAATTTAAAGTTGTTATTATGGACCACATTAGTCTTTGTTTATAAATTCTGAGCAGCTTATTTATTTATTTTTATTTTTAAATTATAAAATTCAATTTGAACATATGGAGGTTCTCTTAGACATATTTTAGTGGTTTGAACCATTTAATTTAGGAAAAATTACTTTCCAATAGTACTATCAGAAATTATTATTAATTTATAGAAAAATTTATAACTTTAATTATTAATTTATATAAACTTCATCACTTTTTGTAATTTATTTTTTAAATATACATTGAATTGAATTTTTCCCTTTAATGTATAAGGTCAGCCAACTACATCGCTCGCAATAAAAAATAAATTGATTAGACATAGATAATTACTTGATTATTAAGTTTGGTCAAACCTTTATTTTACTGTATTATTTTTAAAAGAACAAGTATAATTTCAAAAGCAAACTATACTTTTTCTATACAAAAATGAAGCAATCACATAACTATAGATTTATAATAAACCTAAATTCTTTACATAAATAATGACATTCAAGTTAAAACAATATGAATCACTAAAATAAATCAACTTAGGCCCATAAATCATTCTAATATGGCCCTCCAATGATTCCAATATGACCCTCCGATCCACTAAAAATGAAGGACTTGGAGATAAGTTAAAACGTGACTAAACTATTCAAGGGTAAAAATTAAAAAAACTAAACTTAAAAAGTGAAAAAGTTATTAAAAAAATAAAAAAGTCTATACTATTCAAAGGTAATTTGTGGGGGAAGCAATTAGGACAAAATTATTATTTTGCCGGAAAGCCACTAGGACAAAATTATTATTTTGCCTTTTGAATTCAACTATCTAAAAAGTCAAAAAGTTAAAAGTGGGACCTAAAAGGGGATAAATTAAAAATATTTAAGACTAGAATGGATAAGGAAGGTACTTGAAATTTGAAAGATGATGCTAGCACTTTATGGAACTCGATGGCCAATTGTATGAGGAGAATCTCAAGGGAAGTGTTTGGAGAGTCGAAAGGGGCGGAACCCAGCTCTAGGGAAATTTGGTGGTGGAGGGAAGAGGTTCAAGCGGTAGTTAAGGTAAAAAAAGAGTGCTTTAAAACGTGACAAAAGGATAGAACTGAGAAAAAACTTAAGAGTTATAGATTGGCTAATAAGGAGGTTAAAAAAGTAGTGAAAGAAGCTAAGTTGAAAGTTTATGATGACCTATACACTAGACTAGATAGTAAGGAGGGAGAGAAGATGATATACGAACTTGCTAAGATACGAGAGAGGAAGATAAGAAATTTTAATCAAGTTAAATGCATCAAGAGTAAGGATTCTAAGGTATTGGTGAAGGATGAAGAGATTAAGGAAAGATAGAAGAATTATTTTGAGAAATTATTAAAAGAGGAATATGGAGGTACGGAAATAGAGGAAGAAATAGTCAGTAATATGATAAACTAAGACTATAAGTTCTATCGCAGGATTAGGAACTTTGAAGTGGAGATTGCAATTAAAAAGATGAAATCAAATAAGGTTTTAGGACCCGGTGATATCCTTATTGAAACTTGGAAGTGTTTGGGTAAAAAGAGGGTTACTTGGTTGACTATGTTGTTTAGCAAAATTTTGTTGACTAGGAACATGCCAGATAAGTGAAGGAAAAGTATTTTAGTGCTAATCTATAAAAATAAAGGAGATGCCCAGAATTGCAAAAACTATAGAGGAATCAAGCTAATGTGTCATATAATGAAAGTGTAAGAGAGGGTGATGGAACACCGATTGCAAGATATAACTGAGGTGTTAGAGAATCAATTTGGGTTTATGCCTAATAGGTTAACAATGGAAGGGATTTATCTTTTGAGGAGAGTAATAGAAAAATATAAAGAAAAGAAAAGAGAAGAGACATTTATATGGTATTTATCGACCTTGAGAAAGCATATGATAGAGTGCCCCGGAATATAATATGGTGGGTATTAGAGAAAAAAGGAGTGACAAAAGGTTATATTGATGTGATTAGGGACATGTATGAAGGGGTGGTGATCACTATTAGATTGCCTGCTAGAGAGACAAATGAATTTTCTATCACTGTATGGTTACACCAAGGATCTACCTTAAGTCTTTATCTTTTTACTTTAGTTATGGATGAGTTGACGAGAAATATTCAGGATGAAGTGCCATGGTGTATGCTTTTTGCAAATGATATTATACTAGTGGATGAGACTAGAGAATGAGTTAACACAAAGTTAGAGATTTGGAGAAAAGCTCTTGAATCTAAAGGATTTCAGATAAACAGAACTAAGACAGAGACATGGAGTGAAAATTTAATAACAGTAACAATAAAAGCAGAGGATAA